TTACATTATGATTACTGATGTCAGTGGATCGCCTCAGGTCTTCTGCTAACACGTGGCGGGTGGCTTAATTTTACACGTCCTTTTCACCTTTTTCCATGCTCTGCACAATTCCGTGCCATTCCTCGAGTAATTATCATCGCTGTCATACTCAGATCGATGTCCGGAAAGCCGAACATCTCAAGACGTGGACTAAACACTTAGAATGGGGAGGATTCCGTTCCATCGGCGTTGGCGGAATATAAATTTCTTTCTGATATATCCAAGGTCGGTATCACATGTTTGAAACTCGGGGATGGCAAACCTTCACCCTACAACTCTAGAAAATCTCGTGTGATGGCCCACACTTTAAATTTGTGCGTTATGTGATAATTTCAACTTGCTCGACAACGAGATGAATATATATATATATATATATATATATATATATATATATATATATATATTTAATTTATGTTATTTCTTAACATATCTATTGATGTTTCTCGACTTACGGCCGTCTCATGTCGAATTACAGGTTCTCATCCGATCATACTTGTTAAGCAACGTCTACACTGCTCATTACATAGTACGCGAATACCAGGTGTGGTATGCTTGAATGTGGGGATGGTGCAATGAATGACAGCTCGAACTGAGAAATCGGAGAGGTGAGATCGAATTTCAGTCGGTTTTGTTATATTCTCTTACATGCAACATCCTGGGTATGACGACAAACTACATCCGGCAGCGAGGCCTCTTATCAGGAGGTTTTGCGGGGCGGAGAACTGCCACTTAATTGCTGTTATTTTCAATTCCACCCTAGCTCGTGGTGATAACATCTGATAGAGAACCAGCTATGGGCAAATAGTTGACTCCCAAACTGGGGCCAAGGCACTGTGAAAATAGAAATATAGGGTGTTATAGTGAAAGTATCAGCAATATATTTTTTTAAAATAAATTATTACCAGTAGCATATTTTTGAAAAATTGTTACCAACAATACATTTTTGGGAAAAAAATACCAGCAATACATTTTTGAAAAAAATATTACCGCCAATATATTTGACTCTCGACAAAACTCTCTTTGTAAAACTTCGCCAAAGAAACCTGATCTAAAACTGATTTATATATATATATATATATATATATATATATATATATATATATATATATATATATGTACCAAAATCAGACGACCTCCAGATGATTTCAGATTCTCCGGCAACTCTTTTGGACCGTGGCCTGTATAAGTTGGTAAATGTTTCCATAATCTTTGCCTTCAGTTTATCTTTAGTGTTAAAAGGACTTTTGTTGGTCTGTCTGGCAACTGTGCCCCACACATAATAATCAATGGGGTTGCAGTCTGGTTAGCTGGCTAGATGTAAGCGGTGATGTGATCACAGAAATTGTCGGACAAACATGACTGGGTTCTTCTGCTTGTGTGGCATGGTTCAGCGTCCTGTTGACAGACATAGCTTCTTCCTGCAGCCACTTTCTTGACTCAAAGAAGCACTACCTCCTGAAGGTACTTGATGTAGGCCTCCGTGTTGAGTCTGTGCCCCTGTGAGAAAATGAATAGGGGCATAACGTCGCCATCACTAGTCATCATTTCAAACACCTTCGTAATCACCATCGGACTCATCCAACTCCTTCCGAATCCTTTGCACTGTCCTCAGATTGAGATTCAAAGATACTAAAATGTTCGTATTCCGGCGCGAATGCCAAGCAGTACATCATACCGGCTACATCATTTCTGGCTGGGTGAATTGCACCATGGTGCTTTCTTTCTCAACAAACGGTGCCCAACTGACACAACCATACTGTGCAGTCGACAAAATCAAAAACAAAAAATGCGCATGCGCGAAATTAAAAATATAAAATGGCGACAATTTACGCATAGCACCCTGTACGTTCAATGTCCATTTAGCCGGAGGCAATAATGGTTATCTGTAATTTTCTTTTCCTTATTGTCTGTGAATTTAAATGACTTTTTGCGGTGAAATCGAACAGTCGATTTCCCGTATGCTTTCTCCACCGATCTGAATTCAAATAAGTCTTTCTCATTGCTTACGTTTCAACCAAATCTAGACAATACATACTATCCTGCTATTTAAAATACCATATCGATTCAAGTCTTCCTTTTCCTTTATATATGAATTGTAATGACTTCTTGGGAAAGATAATGCAGTTATTTTCTGATGTCTTCTCCACAATTTTGAAGCCAGTCTTTTAATACTAATATTTACACAAATCAAGCCTCATGAGCCATTCAAATTATACGCTTACTTTGTGGGTTTGTATGAACGTAATAAAATCCTGACAGTGCAGTTCATTAGGTTATGGAGGAAAGACAGCATGACGACATTCATGAATGTAGTAATTAGGAAAACATGCGACCCGGATCCCGGATTCTGTTCCATAGAACAGCATCATCAATACTTTGATTGGTGCAGTTTATATTCTTGTCAAATAGCTGAATTCTTGATGCTTCGCTAGGGCTATCAAGGGTGTTTTTTTATCGTGACACCAACACTAAATGGATTGCCAACCAAAGCTCAGAGAGACTCCATTCACCCTCCTCTAAGAGCAGGTTTGAATTCAGAGTTTTCCTTCTCCTAGACCAGTTGCCATCCAAGGCTATAGAACCCGGTCTGTCCTGCTATTTACCCATAGCTGAAGGAAGAAGAAAAAGATTCACACCTTTCCCAAGCACGTAAGTGAATGTAATGGATTCGACTGGAATTCGAACTCGGCTCTCCGATTCCTCAATCCAAGCCGCTATCCATTACTCCATCGTGCAGCAGGTCATGCGAAATATCTGTCTGAGCTTAACCTTTTTTCTAATAGAATCCAAGATGCATGAGGATGGTTCTATAAATCGGTAACTTATTATTAGCAGATATTGTAGTTTTTTTAAATTACAGGGTGACTATTTGGAATGGTTTGGTGTGTGTTATTGTAATCCCTATTAATTTTCCCAGGAAGGAATATTTGTCGAGAGGACAGTTCTGACCTCGAATTTAAGAGGTCAGGGCATAACTTTTTAATTTCGTTTCTGATGTAGATGTCAGCCGATTATGTTTTAGATTTGGGAGCAATAACTCTGAATGAAAATCAAAACATGGGATTTGATCTTTTAACCCCCGACTTTAGACACCGGAAAACTGAGTTATTTTAGGTGTGAACAGTCTGATATGTTGACGAAGAAAATATAGATAAATACGGCTCGAATTTTAGAATACGGACATAGACCGTCTTTGACACCAGACACACGTATTTGCACACTCGCACGAGGAAGGACCCACTATTCTCTTGAATTTCTGACTGAACGTTGCTGAATTCATTAATCTATGTTCCAAGTCACCGCTTTGTAACCTTGTTTTTTTTTTTTTTTCTAAATAGTTACTAAATATATTCGATTGTAAATTATTTTATTCGGCTTCAGTCGTCTATATTTAACTAAAACTGGCATTATTCTTTTTTCGGCGAGAGCTTGGCCTTATTTCCAGTCAACGCAATCGTCAAAAAGAAGTTTGTCACGGCTTATTGACTAAAAGAAGAAAGCCGTCAGTAAAAATTATGTTTTCGGTTTAGGAGAAATGGCTCTGAATGAAATGGTTTAAAATCAAAACATATGATTGGGTCATTCAACCCCGACATTAAATAGCAAAAAATTGAGTTATTTAGGCGTGTGAACATTTTGACATGTCGGCGAAGATTTATGTATCAATACAGCTCGATTTTGAGGATACATAGAATAGCTGACTGAACCTTACTGAACACATAAATCGAGATTTCTAATCTTTTTTTTTTTTTAATTGATACTAAATATATTCGATTGTAAATGTTTTTATTCACATTCCTTAAATCGTCTATATTTAAGCAAAACTGACATTATTATTTGTTTGGTGAGAGATTGACTTTATTTCCAGTCATTGCAGTCGTCAGCAAGAAATTTGCCACGGCTTATTTACTAAAAAAAAACCCAAAATTCTTCGTTAGTAAGAAACACAACACTTGAAGAACCAAGACTGGACCATCGATGATTTATAATGGCACCACTCACTAAAATATTTTGGAAGCTGTATAACTCTCATTATTTAATATTCGTGCGATGATTTGACCAACGGGGTCCTAAGAGACGTGTACAGGAATGTAGATGGTTATAGGTTCTACTTGTGTACATGATATTACGGGTCTCAGATATAAAGATTATGTCTGGCGGAACCAAGCAATGTAAAACACTTGCCATGGAAATAGCGATAGATTAACGAGAGGCTTGCCACGTTTCGTCCGTGGGAAAGAGGCAGTAGGATGGAAAATAATGCATTAAGTCTACCTAGACGCTTGTGAACTCCATTACAACATGCTAGAGTGGACTGGCCCGCTCCAGCATATATATGATAGCAATACGCAATTTTTTTAAAAACTTATCTGGCCCTTGTATAGTGATAGAGTATAACAACGGAGTGTAGATTTTACAAATATATAGTTGAGTTGGCTAGATGTAACCATAAGTTCTATGCTAACTCTTTTCTCGCTTGTGGAAATCCCTCCCGTACCCATGCTTTCCAGCGAATTTTAATATTCAGAAATTTAAATGTAATGTCAATCGTTATCGCGTAGTAATTATTTTTGTTATCGCTCACGAGTAATGTTTTTGTTTGAAATTCTTTCACAGCCTCTAACTTCTTCTTAGTTGATTCATCACTTGCTTGGGGTGAACCTGATTACAAAATTAATTCAATACGTCGGAGATAATGGCTCTCTATAGCTTCTTTTCTTCTTCATGTTTAAATTGACATGACTTCTTGCTACTTCATTGTTGCTTCTTGAAAACGGCGCACTAATTTTGAATCCGGGTTTTTCTCATAGACAGAGTTTATCCCGTCTACAGAGAGTATATTCTACCATGATATCTAACTCTTTGAGACCTCACCACAGCTATACCGGTGGTAGAGGAAAATAACGTAATGCCCAGCCACCGGTTGAACAGTGGGAGAGAAAACTGACTTAATGCCCGAGCCCCCTGCGTCATCTCCCGTCGACGGGAAAATCGTGGAGGAAACGATACGGGACGGACGGAGGAAAAGGGGGAAACGAACGACGGGACGAAGACGGCAAGCGCCGGCGGAATCGGGCACGGCTCGGCAGGCGGAAGGAAGCGAGAAACTCCCCGCCGGAACCGCTTTCGCCGCGACACCTCTCCCAGAACCGGTGCCCTCCCACGCGCTCTCTCGCTTTCGCTGCGCCTTCGGGGTTCTTCCTAGGTCCGTGTTTCAAGACGGGTCTGGTGGGTTGCCGATGCACGTCGCGGACCCGAGGTGACAGGTGGCACAGTCAGACGCCGACCTACCAGTGCCCTCCCGCGCGCCCAGATTTTTGCGTCCGGACGCGGAGAAGACGACGCGACGAGACGACGTCGCGCGCCGGCACGGGAATCGACGCGGCCGCGAAGGTTTCGAAGCTCCCGCGAACACTGTCCCGCGCGCGCCCGAGATAAACACTTGTAAATTTTTTTTATATATCTACCCTGAAACATTACATGACAATTACTTGCGAATTTTGACTCGAGAGTTCAGTTAGTAGGGTTAAAATTGTTCTGGAACGCCGGACCCAAAGGGTTAATTCATATCTGAGAATTTGATATAAATAATATGTTCTTTAAGCATATAGACGGCCATGACTCGTCACATGTGTGTTTTGATTATTATCTATGATTTGCTAAGACATATTTTAAAAAAATTATTGGAAGGTTTCGGCGAGGTTATTTTTCAACCTTATGAATTCGGCCACGTCTTATCTGAAGATGATTCACCCAATTAGTATTTGAATGTAAGCTAATCCCAGATTCCAAGGAAACTCATTTGCTAAATGCTGGAATGATAGATAGGTGTTTTCTCAAGCAGGTTCCTAGTCTTGAACCTTCTCTCAGGGCCCAAAATTTTCCCAGATCTCAAATGAAACTCATATATCCGATCTATTGATAAAGATACTGGAATGATAGATAGATGTTCTCTCAAGCAAGCTCATTTACTTGAAAGTCTCTTACGACACAAGTACTTCCCAGACCTCAAGTGGAACTCATGTATCCGATCTATTGATAAAGATGCTGGAATGATAGATAGATGTTCTCTCAAGCAAGCTCATTTACTTGAAAGTCTCTTTCGACTCAAGTACTAACCAGACCTCAAGTGGAACTCATGTATCCGATCTATTGATAAAGATGATGGAATGATAGATGGGTGTTCTCTCAAGCAAGCTCATTTACTTGAAAGTCTCTTACGACTCAAGTACTTCCCAGACCTCAAGTGGAACTCATGTATCCGATCTATTGATAAAGATGATGGAATGATAGATGGGTGTTCTCTCAAGCAAGCTCATTTACTTGAAAGTCTCTTACGACTCAAGTACTAACCAGACCTCAAGTGGAACTCATGTATCCGATCTATTGATAAAGATGATGGAATGATAGATGGGTGTTCTCTCAAGCAAGCTCATTTACTTGAAAGTCTCTTACGACTCAAGTACTTCCCAGACCTCAAGTTGTACTCATGTATCCGGTCTATTGATAAAGATGATGGAATGATAGATGGGTGTTCTCTCAAGCAAGCTCATTTACTTGAAAGTCTCTTACGACACAAGTACTTCCCAGACCTCAAGTTGTACTCATGTATCCGATCTATTGATAAAGATGCTGGAATGATAGATAGATGTTCTCTCAAGCAAGCTCATTTACTTGAAAGTCTCTTACGACTCAAGTACTAACCAGACCTCAAGTGGAACTCATGTATCCGATCTATTGATAAAGATGATGGAATGATAGATGGGTGTTCTCTCAAGCAAGCTCATTTACTTGAAAGTCTCTTACGACTCAAGTACTAACCAGACCTCAAGTGGAACTCATGTATCCGATCTATTGATAAAGATGATGGAATGATAGATGGGTGTTCTCTCAAGCAAGCTCATTTACTTGAAACACAAGTACTTCCCCAGACTCTTACGACTCATGTATCCGGTCTATTGATAAAGATGATGGAATGATAGATGGATGTTCTCTCAAGCAAGCTCATTTACTTGACCTCTCAAGTACTTCCCAGAACTCAAGTTGTACTCATGTATCCGATCTATTGATAAAGATGATGGAATGATAGATGGGTGTTCTCTCAAGCAAGCTCATTTACTTGAAAGTCTCTTACGACTCAAGTACTTCCCAGACCTCAAGTGGTACTCATGTATCCGATCTATTGATAAAGATGATGGAATGATAGATGGGTGTTCTCTCAAGCAAGCTCATTTACTTGAAAGTCTCTTACGACTCAAGTACTTCCCAGACCTCAAGTTGTACTCATGTATCCGATCTATTGATAAAGATGATGGAATGATAGATGGGTGTTCTCTCAAGCAAGCTCATTTACTTGAAAGTCTCTTGACACAAGTACTTCCCAGACCTCAAGTTGTACTCATGTATCCGATCAATTGATAAAGATGATGGAATGATAGATAGATGTTCTCTCAAGCAAGCACATTTACTTGAAAGTCTCTTACGACAAAGTACTAACCAGACCTCAAAGTTGAACTCATGTATCCGATCTATTGATAAAGATGATGGAATGATAGATGGGTGTTCTCTCAAGCAAGCTCATTTACTTGAAAGTCTCTTACGACACAAGTACTTCCCCAGACCTCAAGTTGTACTCATGTATCCGGTCTATTGATAAAGATGATGGAATGATAGATAGGTGTTCTCTCAAACAAGCTCATTTACTTGAAAGTCTCTTACGACTCTCAAACAAGTACTAACCAGACCTCAAGTGGAACTCATGTATCCGGTCTATTGATAAAGATGATGGAATGATAGATAGGTGTTCTCAAAGCTCATTTACAAGCTCTACGACTCAAGTACTTCCCAGACCTTTGAACTTGATCTATTGATAAAGATGATTGAATGATAGATAGATGTTCTCTCAAAGCTCAGAAAGTCCTCAAGTACTAACCAGACCTTGGAACTCATGTATCCGATCTATTGATAAAGATGATGGAATGATAGATGGGTGTTCTCTCAAGCAAGCTCATTTACTTGAAAGTTCTCTTACGACACAAGTACTTCCCAGACCTCAAGTTGGACTCATGTATCCGGTCTATTGATAAAGATGATGGAATGATAAATGGGTGTTCTCTCAAGCAAGCTCATTTATTTGAAGTCTCTTACGACACAAGTACTTCCCAGACCTCAAGTTGTACTCATGTATCCGATCTATTGATAAAGATGATGGAATGATAGATAGATGTTCTCTCAAGCAAGCTCATTTTACTTGAAAGTCTCTTACGACTCAAGTACTTCCCAGACCTCAAGTTGTACTCATGTATCCGATCTATTGATAAAGATTATGGAATGATAGATGGGTGTTCTCTCAAGCAAGCTCATTTACTTGAAAGTCTCATTACTTGTACTTCCCAGACCTCAAGTCTCTTATCGACTATTGAAAAGTATGGAATGATAGATGGGTGTCAATCAAGCTTACCTCACGACACAAGTTGTCCCAGACCTCAAGTTGTACTCATGTATCCGGTCTATTGATAAAGATGATGGAATGATAGATGGATGTTCTCTCAAGAAGCTCATTTATTTGAAAGTCTCTTGTACGACACAAGTACTAACCAGACCTCAAGTTGAACTCATGTATCCGATCTATTGATAAAGATGCTGGAATGATAGATGGGTGTTCTCTCAAGCAAGCTCATTTACTTGAAAGTCTCTTACGACACAAGTGCTAGACCTCAAGTTGTACTCATGTATCCGATCTATTGATAAAGATGCAATGATAGATAGATGTTCTCTCAAAGCAAGCTCATTTACTTGAAAGTCTCTTATTCAAGTACTAACCAGACCTCATGAACTCATGTATCCGATCTATTGATGAGATTATGGAATGATAGATGGGTGTTCTCTCAAAGCAAGCTCATTTACTTGAAAGTCTCTTACGACCCACAAGTACTTCCCAGACCTCAAGTTGTACTCCTGTATCCGGTCTATTGATAAAGATGATGGAATGATAGATGGGTGTTCTCAATCAAGCTTAATTTGCTTTGAAAGTCTCTTTACGACACAAGTACTTCCCAGACCTCAAGTTGAACTCATGTATCCGATCTATTGATAAAGATGCTGGAATGATAGATAGATGTTCTCTCAAAAGCTCATTTACTTTGAAAGTCTCTTACGACTCAAGTACTAACCAGACCTCAAGTGGAACTCATGTATCCGATCTATTGATAAAGATGATGGAATGATAGATGGGTGTTCTCTCAAGCAAAACTCATTTACTTGAAAGTCTCTTACGACACAAGTAATTTCCCAGACCTCAAGTTGTACTTGTATCCGATCTATTGATAAAGATGCTGAATGATAGATAGATGTTCTCCAAGCAAGCTCATTTTATTTGAAAGTCTCTTACATGGAATACCCCAACCAGACCTCAAGGGAACTGTGTATCCGATCTATTGATAAAGATGATGGAATGATAGATGGGTGTTCTCTCAAGCAAGCTCATTTACTTGAAAGTCTCTTACGACACATGAACTTCCCTGACCTCAAGTTGTACTCATGTATCCGGTCTATTGATAAAGATGATGGAATGATAGATGGGTGTTCTCTCAAGCAAGCTCATTTACTTGAAAGTCTCTTACGACACAAGTACTTCCCAGAACTCAAGTTGTACTCCTGTATCCGATCTATTGATAAAGATGCTGGAATGATAGATAGATGTTCTCTCAAGCAAGCTCATTTACTTGAAAGTCTCTTTCGACTCAAGTACTAACCAGAACTCAAGTGGAACTCATGTATCCGATCTATTGATAAAGATGATGGAATGATAGGTGGGTGTTCTCTCAAGCAAGCTCATTTACTTGAAAGTCTCTTACGACTCAAGTACTTCCCAGACCTCAAGTGTTACTCATGTATCCGATCTATTGATAAAGATGATGGAATGATAGATGGGTGCTCTCTCAAGCAAAGCTCATTTACTTGAAAGTCTCTTTACGACACAAGTACTTCCAGACCTCAAGTTGTACTCATGTATCCGGTCTATTGATAAAGATGATGGAATGATAGATGGGTGTTCTCTCAAACAAGCTAATTTGCTTGAAAGTCTCTTACGACACAAGTACTTCCCAGACCTCAAGTTGTACTCATGTATCCGATCTATTGATAAAGATGCTGGAATGATAGATAGATGTTCTTTCTCAAACAAGCTCATTTACTTGAAAGTCTCTTACGACTCAAGTACTAACCAGACCTCAAGTGGAACTCATGCTTCCGATCTATTGATAAACATGATGGAATGATAGATGGTCTCTCTCAAGAAGCTCATTTACTTGAAAGTCTCTTACGACACAAGTACCTAGACCTCAAGTTGAACTCATGTATCCGGTCTATTGATAAAGATGATGAATGATGGAATGTTCTCTCAAACAAGATGGAAAGTCTCTTGTTCAAATCTTCCC